GCTGTCTATTAAATCAAATTGATATTGTTTTTGTTTTTGTTTTCTTACTCTTAAAAGTTTGAAAACATCGTACACCAATCGATAAGCGATAACTAATACACCATGTCGACAAAATCCCAACATGCTTTAATAAGTTCTACTTGAAACAATGAAAACACACATGACTCATGTATTGTCAACACACACAAAGAAGGGCAGGGCCCTATAACTGTCAACACATTACAGAGATAGGGTCAAGGTAAAAGTTGTTGTTGGGTTTGAAACAATGAGGTTTATTTCGGTATAAATTTTCGGTGGATAAGGAATTTGTATATATCGATTTTATGTTAGTTATAATTCTGATTTTACCCCTCCGCCCCCAGTAAAAGTACACAACCTAACTGCCACTGATAAACAAATGGGGTGGAGAAGTAGGGCCAAGGGAAAAGTTGTTTGGTTCTAAACAATAAGGTTTATTTCGGCATAAATTTCCGGGGGATAAGGAATTTTAAATATCAGTTTTATGTTAGTTATAATTCAGATTGTCCCCCCCCCCCAATAAATGTACACAACAACATAACTGCCAATGGTATACAAATGGGGTGAAGAAACAGGGTCAAGAGAAAAGTTGTTTTGTTCGACACGATGAGGTATATTTCGACAGAAATTTTCAGTTGATAAGGAATTCTATATATCCACTTAATGAATAGTTATAAATCAGTTGTATTTAACCCTCCCCCTCCCCCAATAAATGTACAAAACTTACCTGTCACTGACAAACAAATATGAAATAGGGTGAAGAGAAAGGGTCAAGGGAAAAGTTATTTCGGCAGGGATTTCCAATGGATAAGGAATTTATATATCCACTTAATATTGGTCATAAATCAGTTTTTTTTTAAAGAGAAGGCACATTTTTCACCATCCAATACCCCCCCCCCCCCCACACACACACACACACACTCGCACTACGACAGATGTTCCTCCACGAGTAGGGTCACGTTGCACTATACAACTGACTAATGATTAAGGATTAATTACCTTTTAATGATGCATACCATAAGTCATAATATACTATAGGTTCTGCCAAATTTGCTTCTGCCTTACCAAAACGAAAAAGAATATCTGCCTGTACATGTACAATGAAGGGCAAGGTATACATATCAATGATTTAGTTCTACTACATAACATGTCCGATGGTAAAATACATCCTTAGCATGGAAACGATTCAATGGACAAGGAAATTATCCACAAGTACAAAAAAAACTCTTCGAACCAACATTTGAGGCTTTATCAGCCCTACATGTCCAAACTAGTCGAATTGTTAGGTCATGCTAAATGCCAATTACAACTAGCGACTAGCTATTTAAGTATTATCATAAGTTCATTGTCTTTCAATGACTTCCGTTATGGTAAACAATGCCAGACGCTGTTGATTTCCTCCCGATAATTGTTTGCGTAAAAACTGCTACCCTAACTTTCCTTTTCATAAAGTGGATGATGCATCAATTCAACTGCTTTATGAATTATGTAGTATTTCGCCGACCGAGGTTTAGAAGGCAATATAGGCCCTCTGTATATGCGCCACCAATGTTCGCTGTATACGATGCGTCATCTCATTTGCGTCATCGCCTGCGCTAATAGAGATTTTAAGGCAGTAGTACAAGCGCCATCAACTGCCATTGTCCACCAGGCGTCCTTTTGATTGCGTCATCACCTCCGCTATTAAACGAAATCAATGAACCGATGAAGGTAATGGTGCATAAGCTCATTATTTCACGCGATACTTTGTTCATTTGGCTTTTACTTTGTGTGACGCTGTCACTCTCTCATGTTGCGTCAAAGACCGGGCAAGTCCCTGACGTAGTCCTACGTCACCAAAATGACGCTTCGTGTGCAAAAGGCGTTACTCATCAAGTGACGCTCCGTGTGCAAAGGGTTTTATTCGTCAAGTGGTTCGAAATTAGTTTCTCGAGGGTCGGATTGCTCTTTAAAAATGTCAAAACACCGCTGAAGAGATTCCCTCAGAATCAAATTGAAATAGCTCGTTCCTTCTTGCTTGCAACGGTGCAAATCAAGATTCACACATGCATAACATACCGAAGCATTCCCCCTCCTACCCCTTCCCAAACATCAATCAACGCACTTCCATTAATTGAGTTCTCCTTATTGCATTCGTGGTTTATTCTTAGCTATTTTTCATAATTAGTGATTTAGATCAGGGACAAGGCGAATATTAAGAAATCCAGGTGCGCCTAGAGGGAAACAGATCACGAGCAATTAGTGTATCAAGCCTTATCACGCTGTATGCGAGGATTAGCGCGTTAAGTCGAAATGCGTGTGTTTATAGAGAATAATTAGTCGACGAGTCTCGTGTTCAGAAAGGACGATGTTGAATTTTCAAATAATTTGGCCTCTCTGCTAAATTGGACAAAAATAAATACCTAACGCGTGTACCTCCTCATTATCGTTAGACATCTGGGGGTAGATAACTTATGTTTCGAATTTGGGAAGAGGCTATACAAATCACCCCCCCCCCTCTTCCCCTCCCTCCCCCTCCCCCTCTCTCTCTTACTCTCTCTCTCCCCCTCTCTCTCTCTCTTATTCTTACTCTTTCTCTGACCACGTTGCTTCTAAGACACATAATGTAAAGCATGTTATCATATGTTGTTGTTGTTAATGTGTATCAACATGGAGACGAAATCTTGCAGTCCATACGTCGTTATATAAAGCGTCACTCGTGAGAGGCAGTAAAGGGAAATGTGTGTGTAGGTACATGAACACGACCAGAGCCAATAACAGATCCGTGTCAGTTCATTGTAGGAACACTGTCACTCTTAGCTATATCTAGAAAGTATAGGATGTAAAATATATATATATATATATATAGAAGTAACAAATATTTCCAGTATAAATACGAAAAGAATGGATGGAAATTCTATTTCAATGTGTTGAACGAACATAGTCTCTTCAATTCTATTTTGAGGATAACAACAAGAGCATAATGTTTTAAAATGTTGGAGAAGAAGAGAAAAAAGATTGAGAACATTTATCCGCAAGGGGCGCATTTATGTTTCAAAAAATGGAAAGAGAAATAGAGATAAAAAATAATGTCTGTTTAAACACGACCGGGGTTGAGTCAGTGGAAATAATGAGCAGTATAAACGACACGAACCTGTCTCTGAAAGTTTTATTGAGAGGATAACAACTATCACCATTGGTGCAAAATAAAATGAACAGACACGGGGGAATTTAATGTCAGTATAAACACGTCCACTAAAAGTCCATGTTATCGTATGAACACGGTCTCTGTGAGCTATATTGAGCAGACTCTCGGCAAGGGGTGCGATATGTTTTTAAAATTGATATCCTGAAACGCAGACGAGTCGGCGACACCGTGTATGTTTTACGTACGTAATAAGCCCACGTGAGCTCATGAAAAAATGATCATGACAATTATCTTGTAAAGCAACATATCGAAGTCGACATGCAACAAGATTTGAAGACAGGTTAAGTCCCGGTTTTGCCTGTGGGGTGGTTTTATGGGGGGGGGGGGGAGGGCCCGGGGGAGGGGTAGCTTGTTTCAAAGCCGAAGTGGCGCATTCATCATATGATAGTGGTGACATAAAGTGGATATACAGTTCAGAACTAAATTATTCAAACACCTTGTAAATTTTGTGCTCTTTTATGTGTATGTCCTAAGTCAAGAATGAAAGATGGACTGGTTGAATTAGAGCCTTTGTTGAATACTTTTAGATGTACATGTACGCGTTAATATGTCACATTCTCAAGAATCATAAATAGGGACAAATCTATTTTTCAAACACTTAAAAATGACAAAACTTGGTGAACATGTACAATTTAGTCGTTTACTGCACTTGCACCAGTGTCGGCTAAAACTACATTATCAACACGGTGGCAAAGAGTTTCAAGAACTCAACTCAAGGGAAATTTCAATATCGTATAGGGTACTGTATATCCCATAGAAACCGTGTTAGGATTACGTAATACCTCGTTGTAATGTTCACATAAATCAATGGGTCATTGCCCTGGCTATTAGAATTGGCTAAGGTTAATTTTTCGAAAGTCTTTGCCATCGTTGTATTTGAAGTTGTCCCATATGACCAGTCGCCAATGTTTGTATTTGAAAGCCACGCCTTCGCGTCAAGTAAACAAAAACAAAAACACGTTTGATCATGACTTGTAAAAGATTTTTTTGGCCGAGGCTAATTTTTTTTCATCAAGGGCACGCACCGGCCCTCGTTTGGACGAAATTAGACTGATTTCCTCTATTGGGTCTGTCATGTAATAACAATTAATTCTCACTGAGTTTAATGAGAGTGGCTATTTGATGTCACTCACGCAAGGGCGTTTCCTCTTTTACCGTCAATGTGGTGATAGACAAGCTGTGTCCCTCCCATCTCCCTGGTCCTATACCGTGTAAGGAATTCACATGAGAAAGCTTTTTCCAAAGCCTCAAGTAAATTTCAATGTTGAGATTGGAAATAGTGTGGACAAATGAGTGTTTGATGATTATTAAAGGAAGCATAGCAAGACGATTTTGAATGGGGATCTCCTATATCAGTTTGTCGGTTCTGTCGGTGCAGGGTTTGCTGTTAGACATCTTTTAAAGAAAGTCTTCGGATTTTATTATTTTCCAAAGATTAAATTGCTAAAGAAAACAACACCAACAACAAAAACAACATCAAGAAATAAGAAAAAGAAATCAGCAGATATTGAGATGCAGAATATACAACAGTACCAATGGTGTATTTGCATATAATGAATATTCATCTTCTGTTTAAACATTTGAAGAAAAGTACCATATACCGTGAGAGGTAGCAATTCATTTACAATCACCCTGCAGTGATGAATAATTCACATTCTTTGAAATTTCTTATCAACGGGAAATCAAATTATTTGCTTCAGCATTTGCTTTTGGACCCAATTTATGTCGAATATTTTAGATTCAATATTCCAGCTTAAAACTTACTGAATTGTTTATTTCTTTGTTATCATTTCAGTTATCTCGAGAGTGTCTTCTACTCAGCTCAGGGCATAGCAGCCATCATCGTAACATTGGTCTTCCACGATTCTGTTCTTTCCTTCGAAACAGAGTTACCGCGTCCTGCCCAGCTCCTCCTTGCCGCATCCCTGGGTTTCCATGTCGTTGCCTTCTTCAGAGTAGCATTCCTTGGCAACAGTTGCATCGTTAAATACACGATTATGCTGATGCAGTTCATGGTGATACTGACGGTTGTGGCAGTTCTGATTACCAAGGAAGACGCTCCGATGGGTATGATCTTGCTCGTGAGTGAGACGGACATGCTGTTTGCAAATGTTGGAAAACTGCACAAAGTCATTCGCCTCAAGGGCACCAGGAGGTACCGTGTCATCATCTACGTTGGAGCCTTCGCGACCGTCCTGTCCCGAGCCATCATTCCTCTTGGTTACCTTGCAATGGCTCTCCTGGAGGGAAGTCCTTTGAAGATGTCCATCTCGGCTACGACAGTGTTCTTCGTCGGACTTGTCGCATGCGGTGCCATCAATACGTGGAGGGTCAATTCGGCTGTTGCTCGCATCTGCAGGAAGGAAGAGAGGATCATCGAGGTAGCGCCTTACACCAACATTTCAGGAAGCTCTGCAGGACCTAAACCAGATGACATGGCAACATCCATCAGTGCCAACATCGAAATGCCACCATCTTACAACGAAGTCTTTGCCGCTGAGGACGCCACCGCAACTGCTGCTCCTGCTGCTGAAGGAGACCTAGCTGCTGCCTCCGGCCTCACCTTTACGAATCCAATGGCAGATTACATTGTCAATGATTCTCTTGCACATGTTGCTCTAGCCACAGGAAATACTGAAACCTCAAACCTGACAACCTTTATATCCATTGATCTAAGTGCTTCAGACCTCGAGAGGCAAAGAGAATCGGTTATGACGACAGACACTGAACTAAGTTGGTCAGGATGAACACATTTTGTGAATAGTTTGTAATTTATTTATTGTCGTATGAATGAGGAGTACGTAGCACAAAGAAGTGTCTTGCAATATCTAAACGGAATGGCTAACTTGCTATCAGATTACGACAAGTAATAATGACGATATCTTGCTATATATGTCAGCTATGATGAATTGAAATGTTTTTTATGATTACGAATATAATGTAACGAAAGGAATGTTAATGACTGGAAACAAAAACAATCTTTTTCGATATAAACAACCAGTACTGAACCGTAAAGCTTTTCTCAAACAAAACACAATTCCTGATCCAGTTTCAAGTATTGCTCTTGCTTGGCCTTCTATCTGTCCATAGTTTTATAAGTCTGAAGATACTTAGACCGAAATTAAAAAGCTTTAGAGATCGGCTGTCTTCGAGACTAAGAGACTGTATAGATTTTATTTGTTTTGTCAAGCTCAAATATACATAAAATAACAACAGAGTGGTACAAAAGACGATGGGGAAAAATCTACAACACGAGAAAATAAGGATTAACTTGACGAGAAGACCCATTTATCTACAAAGAGGTCCTAATTAGAGAATCATTATTGAACAGGTTGAATATATTTTCAATATTTACAGATGTAATATATTTACAGCAATGTTAAAAAACATTGAGAATATCGCTTGAAACAAAGACATTCTCAAAAAAATTGACCTAGTATTCAAGAGGCTGAGTGTCACCGCGCCGAAATGGTTGAAAGGATGGACGATCTGCAGGACCGAAAAGCAAAATGCAGCTCGATCCCGCCATCCGAAGGTCCTGATCATAGAAATTAGAAATCGCATGTTGTACCGACAAACATGACACTAAAAAGTATCGAGGCTGGCCTTGTAATACATGTAACAAAGACGTGCACCATAATGTTGATTTCTGAACCTTTCGAAAGATCAAAGTATTTATCGTTTTTGTTTGTGTGTGTGTAGCGCTTTTTCAAATTATCATGTTAGGACAACTGTTGATAGCATTATTTCTCATTTCTACCATAGCAGAAAGATTTATAACTATGTTCGTTAAATTGTTATTTGTTAATTTGTGATGGTAAGTAATCCGATATCTGTTTTAGAGGAGCATGAAAATGTATTATTCTACTAATTTTATTAAGGGGTCAAACTTGCCTTCACAGTAATTGTCATATTATTTACGAGTTCCAGGATTTTAAACTAAGTTTTACAGATTTTTAATCAAACTAGGAAGATTTTTAGGAACCCTTCATTCTTTTTGTTGTTATTATAGTTTCATCTCATTTAAATTTAGTCATTATTTATGTATTTATTTCTAACTAAAATTGTGGCAATACGCATGTCCATTGTGTTCAGGCATGAATATGCAGTTTATGCTACAGTGCTATCTCCTGCGCTCCTTTCCATTTTTGGGAACAGATGATAATCTTCATGAAACACCTGTCAAATATGGGAATGTTTTGGGGATGAATTTTGTAAACAACTTTTAGTGTTACTATTCAATTTTATATCTGTTAAAGTTGACGTGCATGCATCTATTTTCACTCCTCTCCAGACGAATATTTGTTCATGTCTTACGTTCCCTCCGCCTTTTTCTGTCCCTTGATTTTTGTCCTACCCCCCCCCCTCTCTCTCTCTCTCTCTCTCTCTCTCTCTCTTTGGTCCTCTCTCTCTTTCTCTCTCTCTCTCTCTTTCTCTCCCACCTCTCTTTCTCTATTTCTTTTTTATACCTCTGTCACAATGTTGTTTATTACAGTTATGATCTTTGATAATAAAACAAGAAGAAAACAAATTACACCTTCAAACCTTGTCTCCTAGATTTTAATGATGTAATTTCGAAAAAAAAAACATTCTGGATAAAGACGAATTAGTTTGATATAATAAACGCAAAGTAATTGCGAAACGGAAGACATGTAGGGGGAATGAGGAACTTGAGAAAGGGTGGTGGGTGGGAGATGCAGAGAGAGAGAGAGAGAGAGAGAGAGATGGGGAGCTTTGGACAAAGTCAGACTGTTAGAAGAGACAGATTTGGGGAAAGAAAGGGAATGAGGAGATAGTGGAAGATTTAGAGAGAAAGAGGAGAGAGGGAAGTGGCAGAGAAGAAAGAAAGATAAATAGATAGATTTGTAGAAATATAGGTAGATAGATTTCATTCTTATACAACTAAGCTGCAAAAAATTCAAAAGAGGGCCGCAAGAATAATATTGAACAAGACATATGACACACCATCGGCTGATTTGTTCACAAGTCTTAAATGGATGACACTAGACAAGCGGTTTGAGTTAAGTCGCGTTATGATGATATATAAATGCGTTTATAACTTAGCACCTTCTTACCTTCAGGTAGGCTTAATCAATCCTAATGATGTACATGAGCATCATACAAGGCAAATAGACAGTGTATGTATACGTGTGCCTAGATTTCACACTGATTGTTATAAGTGTAGCCCAATTGTTTCTTCCATATTTGAATGGAATAAGCTAGATAATTCGTTGAGAACGGCTTCCTCTGTCAATTCATTTAAGAGATTGTTTAAACAAAGTTGTAATTTGCGAAAGGCTCAGCCGAACATACACTACGTGCATGTTCTGTAATATTGACATGACTTATTCACATAATTGCGACTTAATTAATATTTTCCTATTGACATTACTGTTTACTAGGTTAATGATATACGTTTATTTTGCAAACGAGTATTATTTTTGTAACTGTTCTGTATAAATGTTATAAACTATGTAAATATGTTCATTCAGGGCCCCATGGAAGACCACTACTTTTTGGTGAATGGGCTACCCTGTCAAAAGATTAGAAAAAAAAGAAAATAAATAAATAAAAGATATAGAGAGAGAGAGAGACGGGGAAAAAGAGAGACGGAGAGAGAGAGAGCGAGAGAAATAGAGAGATAGAAAGAGAGAGAGAGAGAGAGAGAGAGAGGGGGAGAGACTGGGGGGGGGGGGGGGGGGGGGAGAGAGGAAATGGAGCGTAGGGTGCGATTGGCAGGCAGTAAGGAGGATATTTAGAGAGAAAGAGAAAGATGGATAGACAGACAGAGAAACTGGAGAAAGGAGAAAAAAGAGAGATATAAAGAGAGAGAGAGAGGGAGGGTAGAATGAGCTGGGGTTATTCTCGAACAGTGTAACGACCCCAAGGTATGGGTTCGAATCCCTGACACAGCATTAGCGTTTTGGGCAAAACATCATTTGCCACGCCCAGGTGAAGAAAAGTAGGTACGACAGGAAGTAATGCCCTAGCAACTATATAAGGCAGTGAGGCTGAAGCCAGAACATATAAAATCATGGGCCCTTTAATGGTGAAACATAAGCAAATTACATTATAGTTTCATAATTTTCGTTCTCATAAGATATGCAAACTCTTAATGCATGAAGATTTATACACATTCATAGTAGGATAATGAGGATTTATTTGCATTTTATCTTAGAGGTTTTGTTAATGTATAACAACATTTTATGGCATAAGGGCCTATTGTGAAATCCCTCCGAATGTTTTAACCCTACACATTTGGCCTTCTCACAATTAATTCTGACTTTAACACTATTAGAGTTCGATCTTATCTTATCTTTTAATGATTATCAGGATTATAATCAAAATTGCTAACTTGCAGTCTGTTATTTTCATTATCCATTATCATCTTGGTATATACTCGCTAAGAGTAGCAAGTGTTCATTTTCCCATGTCTTTTATGAAACGGATTAACGACCTTCGTGCGCTAATATAACGCAGATTAAAAGTTGATGAGAACATTACCAAGAGAGATTCCTGCGAGGTAAGATTACTAATTATATAGTTCTTTCTTAGATTAACATATTCAATAGTTTACATTGTGTTGTCGTTCAGTGTTACATGTATCAACTATGGAGCTGACATCTCAAAACGTTTAATGTTTAAAGCTCACTAAGACGACAATTTTAGGTGAAATATTGACTTCATTCATCGGAGATATTGAATATGTTCGAAGACTACGTCAGGTTCTTTCGAGAAATAAAGTTAACGAAATTTAAAGTGATATGTTGATAATTCTGATTATCTACATCGATTTGAAACACAGGCGTGCACCAGTTATTAAACACACAAGATTCAGGTTTTATTGTTCATTGATTTCAATTTAGTTTCCCCTTTCAAACAGTTTTATATCAGAGCATTAACACGGTTGCTGGTGTTGCTGTTTCCAACTTAGCGCAATCGTGAAGACTTTCAAGAAATAAACCATACGTATTTTTTTTTTTGTTAGCTTTAAAGATGAAGTTGAGTTCTGGTCATGCGATTGCGTTGTGAAAGAAACGTTGTGGAATCGATCAGAAAATATTGATCATCTAGCATATCAGTATTGGTGTGTACTGCAAGGTTCTGAAATCATCGAAATGATAAGAAATTTGGGCCAGTCTTGGTAAAGTTGCAAGCACTATACACAGAAAGATGTATATGGGAATATACAAACATGTGGCGTAAAAATCCGTCCCGATTTTAATGATGTTACATGCCACTTTAGAATATTAAGGCATTTGAAGAACCATGCTTTTCAGGGAACATGTCTTATCTGAAGTTCTTCCACACTTGCATAATAAGAATGATAACGCTCACAAATTTTTGTTCACCTCTTCCCAGAACTCATCCTTCTCTTTAATTGTCCATCACCTTCTAACACGTGCCAACATTTTAATGACATATTACACAATTCAAACATGAGTTATTTATGTACTACAATAATAGGATATTGAAATTCCTTTTCTTTTTTCTTCTTGAGATTCTTCGCAATATTTTTCATGGTATTCTGTTTGTTGCAGCACGGTTTATTGATAAACTATCACCACCATGAAGTTCGTTATCGCTACCATTCTGTTGGCAGCAACTGTAGCTGCAATACCAACCCTGAAAGAGCGACTTGCAACCATCGAGGATCGGTATATCGTAGTCTTTGAGGTGAGAGCGGTTCCAACAGTTGTCATCATATTACTTTTTGTTAATTTAAAGTTGTCTACGATGATTTCTAGCGAGATTAGTGCTGTCTTAGTCTAATAATTACTCAGGATAATTGTATTTTCACTTGGGCGATGGGTGAATGCTTAGTAACACTAATAAATGACACTAACAATGTAGAGGGTATGTTTGAGTTTTATTTCATCTATTTATTTTATTTTATTTTATTTTATTTATTTATTGTTATTATTTGGAGGGAGGGGGTGCCGGGATGGTAACAGTAATACTACAGCAACACCATTTCTCTCAGTTCTACTACGACGATGATGATGACTACTACTTCTTCTTCCACTACTACTACTTCTACTACTACTACTACTACTACTACTACTACTACTACTACTACTACTACTACTACTACTACTACTACTACTACTACTACTACTACTGATACTACTACTACTGATACTACGAATATAGGTTTCCCCGTCTATTTACAAACTGTTTTCATTCAATTTCGTCCTGAACTTTCTAATCTTGCACATTTCATAGTAAATTTCGTCTTCGGTCATTCATTGACGAACTTTGTCAAATAGCTTTCATCATTTGCATCCAATTTTAAATCAAATTCGTCATCCTCGGCTGCCAACGTACAACTGCATAATTTAATTTCGTCATTTTGCAATTGAAAGCGTCATTGAAAGTCGTCACTCGTTCGTTTTAAGGTCATGTCTATGCACCGAATTCGACTAAATTTCGCTTGAAATTGATTACACAGAGACGAATTTGATTAATGAACTAAAATTATTAAATTCTGCAGCGGACCACCAAGTGAGACGAATTGGAATAAGCATTACGAACATTTCTGGACCAATGTTGAAATTTATCGACCATTGACTAACTTGAACGACTAAATTTACTTTGACATTATTTTGAAAGATCTCGGATAACTTGGACAAAATAAATTGCACAAAGATGAATATGATTGACAAAAAGTGGTAAAACGGATACTGTCCTAAACTACGAGTTTTCCACGACTTCTCATATTTCGAATTTGAGCACATTTTTACTATACTATTCTTCTAAACTGACATGAAAAGAATCTGAAATCTCACAACTCCTAAGTTCACCTCCACAAGAACCTACCTACCTCGTCATTCATGTTATTCAAATTTGGCTCTTTAGAATATAACAACTCTTAGAATGATATGTTCTCCCTTCCCATAGGACACTGTCGATGTCGACGCGCTCGTCTCCAACCTCGAAGTCGACGTCGCTTCGGTGGCCGGCGAGTTCGAAATCACTCGTACATTCTACACGGCGCTAAAAGGCATTGCTGTCAAACTTGATGAAAGAGCTCTGAAACTGGTACGATTACTTTCATTTTTCTAATGCATGTTTCTTAATAGGAAAGTCCACGTATGTCACACACGTTACCAAGGATTGAATTTCATTTTGGAACTTTGAACATAAGGTGACATAAAACAACCATTTCATTTGATATTTTGTCATTTTCAAGTTCTAGTTGGGCTATCAAAGTTCGACTGGTCGAGATAGCATCTTTGTATTCCATTTCTTTCCGCCTGTATGTATTCAGCCATTTTGCATTAGAAAAAGCGTAGATTTTCTTAATGTACGCCTTGCATTGAATACAATCTATTCAGATTCTATAGGTAAAGAAAAGGAAGTAAACATTTATACATTATTTAGGCCATCATATATTAGAGGATTTTGCATTATAGCATATGTCGTCCGACAGCATTCTGCCCTTCCCCTGCCCCCCCCCTCCCCTCCCTGTAAATTGAATGTCTGCAGCTAGCGTATCATCCTCATTCTTCTTGCAACATAAACCTTAAAAATGCAAGTAGGTTTATAAATAAAATCTGTGGCTTCATGCAGAAATAGTCATCGGTATGATATCGTTGGCTCAATCTCTCCTTTTTTCAATGTTTATATGGTCCATATATTTATGTTAAATCTTATTTTACATATCTGTTATTATTATTCGACACCGGTTTATTAGTATCACACTTGGGGGTACTTGTATTTAAGTTTTGTACATGGTATAACATTTAATTAATAATCATGATTGCCAATTTTATATTGAATTGAGTTGCCGTGTAGATGTTTTGCTTAAAATTGCACACTTGTTTGTTATATGTATTTTATAATAATTTAGAATGTAACAAATTTAATACCAATTGAATTTGACTGGATATATATATTTTTTTTACGGATAATGCATTATACCACCACTCAATTTGGGTTTACTGTCTCTCTCTTTCTTTCAAAATTTTTCTCAATTTTAATTGTTGGACAATATGTTGATGTCAGTTTATATATGATTATTGGTCCTGTGAAGTCCTGTGTACCTTTTAATTATGTTTAAATGCGATTGCTCTTGAGTGTTTTTTTTTCTTCTTCTTCTTTTCATATCTATGTATTTAAAGTGTCAATTTATACAGTTTTATTGTACAAAGTATATATACATATAACTATATTGTGAACCATTAATATATGCCTGCCTTTTTTACTGTACGAAATCCAACTTATGGTTGCAATAAATGAATGATATAATGAATCCGGGCTAACTCGGCCCACGGGACTACTCGGCCCAGCTGGAAAAACTGGGCCGAGATGTCCCGACCTGATTAATCGATCGAGAGATACCAATGTGTATATGTTTGTGCTCTTTGTGACTTAATAATGCCCTTTCCAACCTAAATCTTTAATGGAATTGTGTTAAATGATTCTAATGAAGACAATCTATGACTTATCTTTAGGTAAAATGACAAAAAAAATGACATTTCGGACAATTTACTCACAGCTCTAGCTCGCAATCTGCATTGCCGCACGTACATTAAATGTGCGTTGTATCTACTCGGACCACTGAAATTCGAGCAGTGTTTTTGTCGGTAAATCACTGCAAAAATATAATTTTTATCTCATATGAAGGTCTATTTTTTATTCCTGACACAGATTTCATTATTGAGAAGTCGAATATAGTACATTTTAGACGAGATGGTTGATGTTTGTTCACATTCTTTCGTCCTGGCCGTAAATTAGCAGACTACTGCCTAGTGCTACCGCAGCAGCTCAGCTCAGTGTGCAGCTAGCCGTACAGCGCCGCCGGCCGGGTCGGCGGGGGAATTCACCGACTCGTGCCGGGCCGCTGCACTGCATTGCATGATTGTACTGCCCAATTTGATCGAGTGATGTGAGTATAACTAATCAAACTAGATCTATATCTACTGTATTATCATTATTCATTCCGAGTAGAATATCCAATTTGATTTAGTGAGTAAACTAGACCTAGATCTATATCTACTGTAGCTACATCATTATCATATTCTAGATTAGTCATTCAGAGTAGAATATCCGATTAATGAAGGAATAGAATTTTTCTTCTTCATAATCAGATAATCATATTTTACTCCTAAAAGTTAGAGACTTGATAAATCGTCTATTTGATTTCCCTTTTTTCCAACTTTGCAGCTGAGAGTAGCACGAGGTGTTAAATACATCGAGAGCGATGCTATCGCCCGGGTCGATGCCGCCACCGAGTCATGGGGTCTGGACAGGGTCGATCAGAGAGACCTGCCTCTAGATCAATCGTTCGAAATGCAAGGTACTGTATGGCTTAACCGGTAACATTGTTGTATGAAATGTTATTTAACTATTCCATCTACTGTACTAACCCTCTAACATGCACAAAATCCTGACAAATTTCTCAAACCGCAAAGATATTTATGGTTTTCTTTGAAGCGTCACTGTGCGACATCCTCATAAAGTAAATTCTCCTAACCAATTTCTGAATTTTCCCAACATTTTTTCCATGAAAATAAGACATAACACAGGCTTTTAAAAATATTGCAACACTCAAATCTTTGGGATGGTATATACGGCCAATTCATTGCTTTGTGACGATTAACATTCACCTAAATTTTTAATCAAATTATAATAATATAATTAAGGAATCGATCAGATCAGTTTTCCCAATTGTTGCCATTAATAATGGTTTGCATTTCACTCAAACTTTCAGATTATCTTTAATTGTACATATAGCATTGAAGTCACTACCTTAGCACCATTTTCTCTCATCTTAAGAATGTCACCAAGTCCCTTTAAAGGCATGCATGGTATTTTACCGAAATCGCAACCACTGTTATTATGTATTTTTTAATCGCGCCATCTTTCGGTGAAGGCCTACCTCAAGCGATGTTTAAGGTTCATGTACCCAGGCAGTATCTTTTACTGATTTTCGCGTCATATCACACAACATCATGATGAAGGGTACCAAGGGGTGGCGGAGCGTCTTACAAATTGGGGGTGGGGGGGGGCAGTAACAAAAAATGGGCACTATTGGAAAGAAAAAAATGGGGCACATACTATTAGAAAGCCTTATTTCGAAATACCCCATTTGTTAGACTTTGGTATATATCCCTACATTTTCATTATTATGATTGAATTATGAGGGATTAAATCAATATTTGTTTCTTTCTTTACCCAGTCTGAGATACTGCTTAAGCATCATACTTGCAATTGGGTTTGATGATCTGAATATTCGTTTGCGAGCGAGCAAACATTTAAAGATTTGTAATGTCGCAGTGCTGAAAATTACATCTTATAAAGAGGGAGGGAGAACACACCTGATGGGTTTTTAGGTCCAATCTAATCATGAAAGACCGAAAAGAACTTAAATATGTAATAAATGAACTATAAATGGGAGTGAGCGTAGCGAGCGAGCTTTGCAGAAAATTATAGAAAAGTAGCATTATATTAGGCGCGCATATTATGGAGAAAGGAAAAGGGGCACTTATGACAAGGGAAAAGAACACATATTAAACAGAAAAAGGAGCTTGTCAAAGCTTTAAAAAAAAGGCAATTATCAGAGATGAAAATGGTAATGATAAGTATAGAAAAGGGGCATCTGTCGAAGTAAAAGGGGTACCTATCAGATTTTAATAGGGGAAGGAGCTCTTATGTTTTTCTTAAACGGTGCACTTATCACAAGGAAAAGGGGCACTTATTGTAAAAGAAATAGGAGCACATGTCAACATAAAAGGGGCACTTATCAGAGGTAAAAGGGGCATTATATAGATGGGGAAGGGGCATTTCTTACAAAGGAAAACGTGCACTTTTCTAAGTAAAAGGGGACACTTTTCCTATGTAAAAAAGGGGACTTTTGGGCTACATGAAAAATGGGGGCACCGTGCTCCCTGCCCCCCACCCCGGAGCGCTGCCTCCGATGGTAACGTATACATGTTACACACGATGCGTTATTTCAAATGCTTTAGTGTACATGCGCTCATCTAACCTATAAATGTAGTTAATAGCCTACACGATATTTATTATAAGAATTGCTTGCCCTATTCACTTTGCAGTCACTTTGTATACCATATCACTATCACCACATTCACTTGACGCAATGATTAATGCTATTGTTATTACGTCATAATTTGTGAAAATCTGTAACAGGGGACGGTGCTGGCGTGACTGTCTATGTCTTGGATACCGGCATCAGGGAGACGCATGAAGACTTCGACGGAGGGAGGGCCAGGAGAGACCCAATGGACTTTGTAGACGACGGTTGGAATGTAAGAAAATACAAATGCTCTGTTGCCAATTTGATTGCAGGTCCAATTTGGCCTGGACTACTGCCATCCCAGACGAATACAACCCGGATAGTTATCGTTATTTTTTAGGGGGGAGCTATTATTATTTTAAATCCTTATGTAAGAGAAGGAGTTTTACTGTATCTTTGATTTTTTTATAGCTATCAATTATTAATTTAAATCCTTATGTAAGAAAAGGAGTTTTACTGTATCTTTGATTTTTTTTATAGCTATCAATTATTGTATCTTTCCACTTATTTGTCTATCTATCTATATATTTATTCGCATGTCCATATATCTATCTATCTATCTATATATATGTCAATCTATCTACCCTTCTAGCCATCTATTTATCTTTCCATCTTTATATCAAGCTATCTATCTTACTTACATCAGTAAGTCCTGGGTATTTTCCTTCTAACGTTACGAATATCATCAAAAGTTGTAAAATACCTGGCGATTCTTTCAAGTTGATCACGTTGATAGTTTTACCATCAAACGGGCAAAATAGCATTCATAGCAAGAAAATGATCCTTGTGATGCTGATTTCCGTTTATTTTTTTTCGCTATTAAAAGTAACTTACGGGACTGCAATTGACCAAGCATTTGACTTCCCCCATATTCATCTTCCTCTCTCCGTATTCCATTAAAAATAGGGAGCAGACTGCCATGGTCACGGCACTCACTGTGCAGGAACGGCAGCGGGCGGTATTCACGGTATTGCTCGTGGAGCCAACATTGTTTCTATTCGGCTTTTCGACTGTGGTGGTTTTGGATCGGCGTCGGATATTGTCTCAGGTAACGAGTACATTTTCCAGGAATATATGTCACTTTCTAATGAAAATAATGAAATCTTATTTTTTGGAATCTCCACACATACACATAAAGGTACAAAAATGATTAAAAATAATCTTTGCTATATTTTGTACCTTTCTGCCATTTTATTCAATCATGTTGAAATCCCTTTTCGACTAATACTAGGTCGGTTCTGAAGGAAAAATTTTACTATTTTAATGTTGACAATGACCCAAATGATGAAAACACTAGAAAGAAAGAAAGAAACTCCATCTAGGTTTTACAGTGTCTATATAACAAGTCTCCCTATTCTATATGTGGGTTGTTGTTGTTGTTTTCGGGGCGGGGGGGGGGGGGGGCTGACGGCCTCTTGCCCGAATGTCAACTTTCCTTTTTCTACATGTTGCAAGGTAGAAGAAAGGAGCAAACGAAATTTCGGGCACTTTTCCATAGTGTAAAATGTGATTTGTCTTCAAAACCTGCTAGACAAGGTTTATCAAAAACAAACAAACAAACACACATCTCGCTGCCACCCAAATATCCGAATATGAAGTGACCACTCATTAATATTGGTGAGGGTGGGGTGCAGCTCCCAACACCTGGCCCCTGTTTCATAAAACTTGTAATCAATAAGAAGTGCTAAATTTCTGTGACGTATGTACTCGCAGCCAATCAAAGGTAAGGATTATAGTAGCTAATAACAATTATCGTATCTTGTTATTGATAACAAGAAACGAGGTCCAGGGGGTGTTTCACAAAGATCCTAAGTTGAACTTAATTCTAATTTGGAGTTTTAAAAAAATTTGTAGCATTGACAAAATTATATTCAAAAGCTAAAATTAAGGTATTTTATACTTTTTATAAATTCCACATCAAGAACATGAAATCTCACTGAAAATATGAACGATTTGAATCAACATTTGATGCCTTTTAATATAACTTTTACAAAATATGTTAATGGCTTTCAATAATTCGAGATAAGCTCAACTTAGGATCTTTGTGAAAAAACCTGGTCTCTTTCGCCTCTGAGGCATATGCTGTACTTATCTTTCTATCTATCTATCTATCTATTTGCCTACATTAATCCATTTAACTTTATATCCATCTATCTATTTTTTCAGCCATCGATTATACAACTGCTACTGCTCAGCGTCCCGCTGTGATGTCCATGTCGTTCGGTGTAGTAAGACGAAACGCGATCGACGATGCGATTGAAGCGGCCAGTAACAGCCAGATCATTCCCGTAGCCGCGGCGGGTAACAGCGACAATGATGCCTGCACCTTTTCGCCAGCGGGGTCTCCAAAAGTAAGATTTTCCTTTGAATTATTGTCATGCTAATTTCTTAAAAGGCCATGAATCAATAATTAAATACTCATGATGAAGAATCGAGAAGCAGGAACAAAAATATTGAAGAGTTTAGGATGAAAAAGGTGCCCCCCCCCCCTTGAGAAAAAAATCATGTAAAATCGTGATTTTTACCTTTTTTTGGGGTTGGGCCCCCCCCCTGGCGCTCAAGGGGGGGGGGGGGGTGCAAATTGATCAACAACAAAAAAATGTGCTCACTACCCCCCCCCCCCCCCACCCCACTGAGCGAATTTTTGGCCGGCGCGTTTTTCAAATTTTCGGGAGCAAAAAAAAAAAAAAAAAAAAAAAAAAAAAAATTGTGCTCTGTATGACACCAACCCACCCCCCCTCCCACTGAGCGACTTTTTGGCCGGCGCGATTTTCAAATTTTCGGGAGCAAAAAAAAAAAAAAAGTTGGGCCCCCTCCCCTAAGAAATCCTGGATCCGCGCCTGTCCCCCGCACTCCCCTCCCCCCAAAGAAGATAGTCCTGATTCAAGATTTGTTGAATCTATTTTTTGTTACATATTACGATACCGAATTCGACTAATAGATAATAAACCATTTATTATTGTTTTTCTCCCAGAAAATAAACTAATCTTACCATAAGTCCGTCATACTCTTTGACACTATCTTTCTGTGATTATGATAATTGAATGTATTTTTTTCCTGTCATAAGACGTTCATCAATGATTAGTAAGAATGATGATGTGATGATGTTTGTAAAAATTAGTTAGAATTACCTTTTATTCCAAGCGTGAAATAATTATGACGTTCTCTAATGTATATAGGATTATATCAATAAATCGGAATTCGACCCTCCCTTTCTCTTTCTCTCTCTACATCCTCTCCCACTTTCCCTTCCTCCATCCCTCCTTAATTTTTCTACATCCTTTTCTCTCCCTCCTTCTCTCTCCCTCCTTTTTCTCTCTCTCCCACTCTCTCTTCCTCCCCCTTTCTCACTCTCCCACTATCTCTCTATCTCTCTCCCACTCTCTCCCTCTCTCTCTCTCTCCCACTCTCTCTCCCTTTCAATCAACCCCTCCCTCATCTTCACCTCCATGCCATCCACACACCGACAGTCCTTCACCGTTGCAGCATCGGACATCAACGACAACCGGGCCTATTTCTCCAGCTTCGGAAGCTGCGTCCAACTCTTTGCTCCCGGTGTCGACATCACCAGCGCTTCTCCTGCTAGCGATGTAGCCACGGCTACCTGGAGCGGAACCAGCATGGCCTGTCCTCACGTCGCTGGTAAGAACAACACGAACGAATTTATTTATTTATTTATTTATTTATTAAAACATCTTTTAACAGGTTAACATTAATCAGCTCACAGGCTGTTTTACATAATGGTCCTGCATAAGGATGGAAAATACAAATACAAACTGACAATGAGAGCAGTTACAAACAAAAAAGCAGTTTTATACAAATGGTAAAAAACGAAAACAGCACAAATAGGAAAAACAAAATTAGGGAAAAACAAAAAGAGGAGAAAAAAAGATAACATAATGCAATATGACATTTACATTATGACATTTTACATTAGAATTATATATATAACTAAGAAGGTAATAAACATTTCATGTGGAGATTAAGCCCAATGAATTGTGAAAATGGTTTAAATTGCATAATTATAAAAGATAAATATCAAATTTAGGATGTAATGTAGGTATATGAAATTTCTAGGTAATTAGCAATCATTATAGTTATTGCATATAATGTTGTAGTAGTGAGGAGAAACGACAGTGAACAAATTTTATCGATTAAAGGAACATTTTTTTATATCGGTATCTACCTCCAAAAGAAAAATCAAGGGCAATTTCAATACCTAATTGTTTGTCCCATAGAATTCATGTTCGGATTACGTCACACGCCACTGTCAAGGTCACACATTTCAATAGGTGACCATTAGACTTTGAATGGAATAGGCGATTTTCGTAATGTAACCAAAGGTATGCATATGCCTTTGTGAAGCGCCTCGATACGAATTATTTTATTTACCGGTTAAAGTCAATCTGCACTAGTTTGGCGAGGAGGGATTAGACCACCCTGCGTGGTCACTGACAGGCGGTTATCTCATCAAATCAGCTCTCGATTAACACAAGAAAAAGTGGATCCTGAGGGACCAACGGGTACCGCTTAGGAAAGTAGTGCAGTCCCGCTTAAGAAAAACATGTATCTCAATAGTAAGAATGTCAGAATATTGCTAGGTAGCACAAACATTATGGCTCGTCCTACCTTGCAAAAGTTGCAACACGTAAATATATATGCAGTTTGTATTCTGACTATTGAGATACAATTATTCGTACTAGGTGAATGAAATGTATTCATTTGGTTACACTATGAAAATGGCCTATTGCCTCAAGTTAATTTTTTTCAAAAATAGTTGCGACCGTGTTGAAAAAGAGCTATGATGATAGTGGGTTGGATTGGTTATATTTGTTCATTTTTTAAAATCTATTTTGTTATCTGAGGCATGGATTCTTTTGAATTGTCATTGTATACAATGGACATATATATGTGCCATCGGATCAAAGAATGTTGGGATTTCGATTGGCTCAGTGGTAGACTAGTGATCTCGTAATCGGGAGGTCCCGGATTCGAAACTTAGTCGATGCGCTCGTACGCGTGCACTAAATCTTATAATTAAATCCTTTGGAGAGGAATAAAAACTGTCAGTCCCCTTCTTCCTAACGTACAAGCAATCACATGCTTTTTTAACAGTTAGCTATGAGAAGTAAACCATTAACCATGTACGATAATTTTTATGAAAATTCCACATTCCTCCTCATCTTCATCCTCGTCTCTTGTTCTTCTCTGAATTACAGGTGTAGCGGCCGTCCATCTTGGTAACGGGGTCGCGCCTGAAGACATCCGAGACCGTCTTGTGAACGACGCATCCGTCAACAAGATCTACGATTCCGAAGACGGAACCCCAAACAAACTCCTTTACCTCGGTCCCACAAACTGATACTAGAATGATTGTTGAGCCCAGGATAACATATTGAATTCATAACATTGTTATGATGCATGACTATTTTAATCACGAAGATACATATAATATGAAGTCAGAGTATTTGTTTTACCTCTTTTCATGAAATGGTTGTGACTATATAATATATAATATATTCTTGATAGATAAAGTTAATTCATTATCTTCTCAGAACTTTATTGATCGATATGAAGATCCATAGAGATTGGTCAATGATGTGCTTAGAAGATATGAGGTTTATTATTTCAAACCACATTGTAACAATCATTTCATGAAAAGAGGTAAGACAAAAAGTTATTCTAACTTAACGGACAACAATGTTTATCATAAAATCCGCTCATCCAATAATAATACCTAATGCACACGAAATGTAATTTATATTGCGTTATTACCTGCGCTAATTAAGTATGTGAAGGCATCTGACTCATAAGCCAGTAGTGTAACACAATGTTTGCACTATGTTCATTTTGAAATATTCTCTCTTTTTTGCACGATGTCATCCTGTTGTGGCTTGTCCAATAATGCACCAGTCATTGACTTAGTCCTCCGTCAGGTATTTGACGCATGCTTCGTGTGCAAATGACTTTAATACCCCTTTGATCAGTTTGTCAATTTGACTTAAATGAGAATAAATCTAATACATACATGTCGTAAACAATCTCTCTTACACATGTGTAAGTCAGTCAATGTCGTGTCCTTTCAGGGCCATCAGCGGCTTATCCAGAAGTTGATACAATGGAGGAAAAATCATCCCCATACGCGTATTGTATCGAGTCTACTCTAGACCCAAAAGCGTCTGGGGGTGGGGGAAGAGAGATTCACTTGCTAAAAACAACACAGTGCAACTAGTTATGGTATTCGAAACACATACATAACAATCATATAATCAAAAGAAAATCAATTCATTTCGTATTATCAATTTGGTCATGTTTCGTCATCTCTCTTTTTTTTTCTTCGTATCAATATTTACTTAATATGGTGATTATCTCTGTTTCGCTTATTTATGGATACGCCACTGGATTTGTGAAAGATAATGATCAGTAAATTAAAGAGATGATTGGTACTGTAAAGTCCAGAGAATAGCTTCCTATTGTCTTGCTCGAGCTTTACTTTTTGTGTTATTATTCTGTGAGTGCAAAACGAAAAACTATACATGTAGTGTGTCTGTGCTTGTTGCTATTATTTGGTCATTAAACTGAAATCTGCTGATTGTCTGACATATATCTAAGTTCATAGCATTAGCATCCTCAGCCAAAATAACTACAATGTTTATTCCTACTGGTATTTTACAAAGGAAATAAAATCTTTTATCTCCTCCTTTCACCGAAACAAAATGGTTATAAAAAAGTAATAGGATATTATGACGAGGAATCATTGTCATTTATATTTCATTCGAATTTGAAACACATTTTGCAATTAAATGATAAGATTATATATTGTTCACATTCTCACATGAGAACAAATACGCGATTATCACTCTGACAACCGATTAGAAACAAGGAAGGGGCATTTTTTTAAATGAACATAAAATTCCCTTCATTGTCATTGATAAGGAGAACCAGGATCCGGTTTAGGTGTTAAACGTATACAAATGGGTTACACCAAAGAGTTCCAGTTTCCAATGTTGGGCACCAAGAGTTAAACAAAATGGAAAACCTCCCCCCACCCCTTCAACAGAATGGAATGCCCGGTCACTTCATTTTTTCGCTGGAGGGGGATGAAATACTTTGTAACCCATACCCAAGTCCGTCGCCCATTACTCAGCAAGAAATATATATTAATCAAGCAAATACTAAAATTTGTATCATATCTTGAAAAACAATCATCGTTACGGTCAAATCTGCGCACCAAATTGCCTTTAATGGGGATTTGCTTTATCTTAAGGGCCCTAAATATTATCTCAACGAGTATGGGAATGCGAGCAAAGTCCGGATTGGATCCATCACCTCTATCCTCGCGATTGTGTATCAACAAAAATTGTGTAGATAATCGCTAATAATTGTGTCTTCTAAACCAAGTGATCATTTAAACTGATTTCTTTCTTGGCAAAGGTAAGCATATTGTTGGGGTAACTTTTTCCTTTTTATTGTGTGTAATACTGGCATTTGTATTTTTATCGGGTTTTATCGGTTTTTAGTCTCATTTAACACATAGCTTATCCTTAGTAACGTGTGGGATAATATTGAAAAACAATACAGAAAAATTGCTATATTTCAAGTTGTATATTCTGTATCATGTAAGTGATTCGCAATGAGACGGACAATGAACTGGAAACGTCTCGTTCGTTATCGTATAATGACTTATTATGACTAGCGTGCAGTGTATATTCACTAATACAATGCATTCCCAAACATGAACTAGTCGTATACTAATATTGTTTTTGGAATCAATGCTGTTATATCATAAATAATAGTGTCATAACAGTTACTATGTTCATTGTATACTACTTGTGTTTACAGTACCTTTTCTGTTTACAGTACCTTTTCCTACTGAACCATGAGAATCGGGATTTCCATTGCGTTGTTCCTGTCAGCACTGGGCCTGGTCCAGTGTATAGATAGCAGGATACAGACCATACCAGACAGGTACATCGTGGTACTTAATGTAAGTATATTTACCATGGTGATAGAGGAACATCCCCGCATTTAGCTTGTCCAGGAAAGAGATACAAAAAGATGGTCAAAAAGGCAGCTCCTACATTGATGTTAACAATTTGATACTTAAAACATTGTAAAAACACCTTTTTGTGCTATTTCCACGCTTGTTAGGTTTAACCGACATCGCAAGAATTGTTTACTAAGAGGTGCATCCTGAGGTATGACTTTAAAGAACATTTGATTTGGTTTGGTGGTTTAGGAATTCACGAGAGTTGACTTTGTACATTTAATATATATTGCAATAGATCTTATAAATGAAACAATTAGGATTTTTTTAAATTTGATATCCGATTGACACATCTTTGGGGGGATATTTATTGTTTCCCTTATTACAAGACCAATATATTATAAACCATAGAATATCGGATTCATGATTGCATTTATTACTAATGAAAATTATCTTTTTAGATCCAGAGACAGCTATGTATTTAGTCTTATGTTTGTTTCCGAGGACGTATAGCCATTTTGTAAAAAAAAAATAGATTTCAAACACTCTAAATTATAATAATAACAGTGATAATAATACAATATTTATAAAGCGCATAATAAATAAAAGTGTTCTATGCGCTGTACAAGCATGAATGACGAGAAATATTTCACATACATGTATAATATAATCACATAATAAGAACTGTTATACATTTCTTTAGGATGGCGAGATACTGGACCCTCTGCTCACCCGAATACAGCAGAATATGGTTACTCGCTCGGGGAGGTTTTCTGTCTTTAGGAAATATTACAAAGCACTGAATGGGTTCGCTGCAGAGATGTCTGAAGATGTTGCAGAAAGGGTGAGCAAAAAAAAAATTGTGTCAAATATAACAATGATAATCATAATAATAATAATAGTCATAATAAAAATAATAATGATAATATTATTAATAATAATACTTATAATGATATAATAATACTACTTATAATGATATAATAATAATAATAATACAAATAACCATAGTAACAATGATAATATTAATGATAATTATACAAATACACAAGTTGATAAAGGGCTTTATGCTAGGTTTCCAAGTGATTTACATTGCAATTATCATTACTGGTTCTCTGGCCCTCCCTTTCCCCCCCCTCTCTCTCTCTCTCTCTCTCTCTCTCTCTCTCACACCCCTCTCTCTCTCTCTCTCTCTCTCTCCCTCTTTCTCTCTCTCTCTCTCTCTCTCTCCCTTTTCCTGTCATTTTCCAGACCTCTTCCTTTCTATTCATTCCCATTTTTACCTCTATTGGGCAACGTGACGGACATGTGCGCTATATAAGAAGCCACCATTATTATTGTTATTAAGTCCAAACTATTCTGTCTCAAACGATAGGAGTCACATCTTACAGTTTACTATATCTGATTATGGCAGGGACTTGAGTTCCTCCTAGAACCCAGATTTTAGACTCAATTCTTATTTGGTTATTGGCAATGTAGTGCTCTCTCTGATTGCTCGCTTACCATGCGTACTGTAAGCCTGACGGCGAGTTTGATGTTAAATGTCACTAGCATAATCTAATTAATTAGATTCGCTTACCCAAATCAGATTTATCAGAATTTGGTCCTAATTACATCAGCTGGTGGCAACTACCAAAATCATTTACTTTTCTTCTCTGCAAGTCACTCTTCTGCTTTTTAATTGTTATTGTTGTATCTAAGTTGAAGGCTGCGGGCACGGCAAGCTACTTTGATTATTCTGTAGCCCTCCTGCATCTAATTTATGTTAATTATGCATTCAATATATTTGTTTAATTCGTATATTATCTGTATAAAATTATGTACACTTGAAATATTGTATCAAACCATATTATGTTCATGAAAATGTATGATGAAAAAGAAAGAAAAAAGATGCAGAAACCAAAAATCAAATCAAATCAAATCAAATCATATAGGGAAAAGAAACACATACGAATCATAATCAAACTCGTAATTATTAGAGGCAACTTCCCCTTTCTTACCGTTATCCTGAATGAAAAAATTAGTTCTTTTTTATGCATGATAATATATAGGTTCTTATCTCTATTTCGTGAGAAAAATGTCAATCGTAAAGATAATAATTGAGCCGGATCTAGATTCTGCTTTGATAATCATGTTGATAGTTTTGTAAACAGAGAAAGGTGACATTTTACCTTGCTGTTTTTCGAAAAGGTCCTGGAACTGCCTGCCGTGAAGTACATGGAACAGGATACAATCGGCATCGTCGATGTCGCCTCATCATCATGGGGTCTTGATCGCATTGACCAGCACAACCTCCCCCTCGATGATGTTTTCAACATCGAAGGTAATGCTGGAATGTTGAAGGCAATTCAGCTACTTTTATTGTGGTTTATGGAATCGATAACGTGATGGGTTGTCAATTGAGTGATTCATACAGTGCTTGGGCAATCCTCTAC